CTGCGACGCCTGTTATCGGGGCGCCCATGGAAACTGCCGTGGAGGGAGGACGCTCTCCTTCAGGCAGGTGGAGCGATCAGGAGTTACCCAGAAATAGGCCAGCACCTGTGGGTCTGGCCGCTGAGCGGACCCACTTAGAAGGGATGGGTCTCCCACAGGATGTAGTGCGCACAATCTAGGATTCATGTGCTACATCTACCACAGCGCTGTACACAACAAAGTGGACAGTTTTCAGCGCTGGTGTACAGAGAAAGGTGTAGAGGCCACCTTCATGTCCTTTAGGCGACGTGCTGTCCTTTCTGCGACAGCTGATGGACAGAAATTTGGCGTTCAGCACGATTAACGTACGCTGCAGCCATTTCTGCCAGCCACGAAGGGTTCGGAGACAGAACAGCTTTTAATCATCTGCTGATGAAGCGTTTTCTAAAAGGTGTACAAAGACGCAGGCCTGTTTCACACCCACTTGTTCCACAGTGGGATTTAACGCTGGTCCTACAGGCCCTGATCAAAGCTTCAGTTGAGCCTCTGGATCAGGTCCCAATTAAATTATTGTCTCTTAAAACAGCCCTGCTGCTGGCTTTAACATCCGCTAAGAGGGTGAGTGATTATCTGCCTTCTCTGTCGCTCCGTCATGTCTCAGAATTCAGGCAGACGGCAGCTCAGCTGATCTAAGACCAAATACAGCTTTATGCCTAAAAACATCATGAGGTCTTTTAAATCAAGAGCGATATCGTTGGAGGGGTTTTCCCTTCTCCCACAAATCAGAGGAAGAAGCGGTTTTCCATCTTCTCTGTCCTGTGCGGGCGTTGACGTGTTACATAGCGCACACAGCTGCAATGCGTCAAATTTAACATTTGTTTGTGCATTATAGAGATGCATCTGCAGGTCGCCCGTTATCCACCCAGCGCTTGTCACACTGGCTGTGTGAGGCCATTTCTGAAGCCTACAGAGCATCAGATTTAGAGCCTCCCGTCAACCTCAGGGCATACTCGACCAAGGGTATTGCATCTTCGACTGCTTTGCATAATGGTATGACAATGCAGGATGTTTGCACTGCGGCCGCGTGGTCAACATCCTGCTCATTTATTCACTTTTATCTACGTGATGTGACGGCCTGATCTATGACACATTCTGTCCTTAGTGTTTTACAGAATGAATATTGATGTTTCATGGAACTCCGTTTAACTCACATCGGTCTGCATGCATTACAGTGTGAGATGTTATCAGTCACAAGTTGTGGTTTTTATTTTGGTTCTATTGCTACTAATCAGTTCATGACTACTGTTACCAATCAGTTCATTTGATTAATAATCAGCTCTCCTGTTATTATTAATTTGTTCATACTGTTCAGCCGTAAACCGGTTGGTTCATGGCTCTTTTCAGCATTTTTCCCTCCCCGTTGAAATTTTTTCCGGGGCGTTCATGCATTCAGAACGCATAGTTACACAACATGCGTCTATGCATGGCACACATAATTACGCAATGCGTAATTATTTACATGAGGAGCTGAGTGACAAGACGTTTTTTTGGGCAAGCTCCTGCTTCATACAGTGTTTGAATGGACCCAGTGAGGCGAAGACCACATCTGCGTCGCCCTTAACCCACTAAGCGACAGCCTTAAATGGCGAAGCCTAAACAAAATAGAACGTTGGTTACGTACTGTAACCCCAGATTCTATGAATATAGGCATAGCCCTTTACTCACTGGCTCCTGAATGGCTGAAGAAAAGTTATTTGGGAGCCGATTACCTGTTCTTAACGTAATTTATACGGACCGGGTTGGGCCCACACAGCAGGTGGGCGTGAACTCAATTTTTCAGTGCAATGCTTCGCATAACGGGATAAAACCCACTAAGTGACAGCCTTAAAGGGCTACGCCTATATTCATAGAATCTGGGGTTACAGTACGTAACCAACGTTCTGTTTGGTAGACTGTGAGCTTGGTTCTGTTGACGTGGCGGGGCACCCCACTTATATAATGGCAGGGGAAACATTGAATGCATCAACCACCTATTTATGATCAAGTTGGACCGTGGAGCCTTACCTGAGTCTGACTGTGCACTAACAGCGACTGGGAACTGTGCAGCTCAAACCTTAAGGGCAGCTGCTTTCCTGAGGATCAGGAAACTGGCTGATGGTTCTGATCAGCAGTCCTTTCAGGCAGCATTTCATTGGTTTTCAGCATTTGTCACAAGTTTTGGAAGTTATAGCTCATTTAAAGGCAACATATTATTTGTTGTAGGTTTCATTTATGCTCAACATGTTTTAAGCTTCATTTTATTTAGTTTATTTGGGAACTGTACCTGTACTTTAGATTTTGTGGTGGATTTTGTTGATCTATATTTGGTGCAGACTTTTTCATTCTAAATAACAGAAAGATCATTTTTATTATTTTTTTATTTTTATACTTTGAGACTGAATACTTTACTAAATAAAGTAATTGCAGTAAAATTAACCCATGCTGTTTGTTTTTTAAGCTTTTATATAATACTGCAAAGCAACAAGTTAATTTAGTCAAATGAATAACTATGATTTCTGTCTTTTTTTTTTTTTTTTTTGTTATATCACAAAATTTATCGTTACCGGCTCTGAAATATCACAATATTATCCTGATGCTTGCTCAATAATCCAGGTAGAAAAATCTAAAAAAGTTAAGTCTGGTCCTCTGGACATTCAAAAAGACTGAAGTGATTCGGATGAAAGACAAAACGTTTCTACTTTTTTTTTTTTTTTGAATGTCCAGAGGACCTGATTTAACTTTTTTAGATCACGATTTTATATTTGGTCCATATCATCCACCTAGGGCTGGGCGATATGGACCAAAATGAATATCTCAATATTTTTATAAAAATTGCGATATATGATATATATCTCTATATTTTTTCTTTCGATAAAGTAATAAAAATATATTTGAGTCAAAGTTTTGTCCCAATTGTCACACAGGCACATTTATTAACAAACATCTGTAACTGTACACAATTAATGTCTAAAAAAATAAACTATGTACATATATTAAATAGTTTATTTTTTATACATCTATTTACATATATTAAATAACAATCCTCTTCAGCTGGGGGCGGCTGTGGTTGAAAGGCTAGAGCAGTAATCCTCCAATGGGAAGGTTGGGGGTTCGATTCCACCAGCAGTCACATGCTGAAGTGTCCCTGGGCAAGACACTGAACCCCTCATTGCCTCTGACGTGTGTCCCATCAGTGTTTGAATGTGATAAAGCTCTGATTATTCTTTGTATAGATCTAGTAGAGTGCTGTATGAGCGGGTAAATGAGGACACAGATTGTTGTAAAGAGCTTTGAGTGTCTTGATAAGACAGAAAGGAGCTGTGTAAGTACAGTCCATTCAGCTGCGCCACCTTCACGTTAGCAAGTGTGTGTGAACTGCAGCTCCGACAGACCTGTCTCCTTCCTTGAAGCAACCCACGGGTCAGAGCTCATTTAGCCGTGCTGTGCCTTTAATAGGAACACAGAGAGGAAGCGTGACATTAATAAATTAGCAGTTTATCATATTTCTAAAGATCCGGTCCCGTCAGCTGTTGAACAGGACGGCTAAAGCGTTAGCCATCTTGTTAGCCATTAAGGACTGTGTCTTTACAGATATGATAAACTGCTGATTTATTAATGTTGTGCTTCCTCTCTGTGTTCCTCTAAAAGGCACAGCACGGCTAAATGAGCTCTGGCCCGTGGGTTGCTTCAAGGAAGGAGACAGGTCTGTCGGAGCTGCAGTTCACACACACTCAGCTGCAGCGTTTACTTCTGCTTAACGTCTCCTCTCCTCCTGCCCTCCCACCTCCTGGAGAAGCAGGAAGGAGAGGGGGAGCGCGGCTGAGGGCTTTGTGTTTGTGTTCGAGGAGGTAGAAGGAGGGGGGCGCCTGGGAGAAAGAAGACAGCATAATTTCCAAGTATAAAACTATATTGTTTTATATCGAGATAGTCTCAACCTATATCACAAAAAAATTATCTCAGTATTTTAAAAATATCGAGATATCGCCCAGCCCTACACCCACCCCTATTCCCCCACCATGTCTGTGTAAATGGGGGCTGAGTCCTGGATTCAGAAACCTTCAGTTTCAGAGAGAATGAGGGCTGCTGTCGTGTAAATGAACGGCTGAATGTTTCACGTCGTGTAAACGGGGCCTCAGACAGGCTGCCCTGTATCTCTATCAAGTGACAAATTTCATAGATGGATGATAGGCTGACGTCTACTTTTTAGTGCCATGCGATCTACCCATAATACATTTGCGATCGACTGGCAGATCGTGATTGACGTATTGGGCACCCCCTGGTTTAGATTCTTCCCTGCTTCAACACACCTGGCTGAAATGAATATGTTAATAACAGGCTTCTGCTAAACCTGAAGATATTCTGAGGAGGTACTTCAATTATTAGAATCAGATTGTGTTGAAGCAGGGAAACAGCTAAAACAAGCAGGACAGTGGGCCACGAGGACCAGGGCTGGGGACCCCCGATGTACAGAATTCTAAAGCTCACTTTGTTGTGGAGAAATGCAGTAAGAAAGGTGAGGCTGCACTTTAACAAAAGAAGCAGTCTCAGTACCAGTATTTATTTTGTTCTGCCTGAACATCCCAAAAAATATGTAGGCAATGTTTTTATTTAACATTTTTCAATACAATGATGAAGTACAGGCCAAAGCAAAACTGAGTATTTTTCCCAAAATGAGCAGCAACTGCATGTTGTTACTGTTGCCACAAGTCAGGCATCTTGAATCCAGATGTTTAAACTGACCATTAGAGAATAAGGCAGTAATTAATGATCTGGAACAAACTAAAAAAACTACACTTAGCTGTAGCTTTTTAGTTCATTATCAGTACATTTGTTGTGACGGAATTAAGATTTCATCTTTGTTTTTTTTTGTTTTTTTTATGCAATATATCGTTATTTTCTACATATAAATAAATAACAGTTGCAATAATAAATATTTAAAGTTTATCCATGATATGCAGGCTCTAGCTGGAAAAAGAACTAACCTCCAACAGGTGACCTGTCAGGGGTCGCCACAGGATCTCAATACGGTCCATGTTCACCAGGCCCGTTTCCAGCAACTTAGCAACCGCAAACAGAGAAGGTTCCTGACCAACAACCAGACGAAAAAAAATGCATGAAAATAGAGAAAATACTTTGTATTCAAAAGCATATTTCTGGCATTTAACCCAAAACAGTCTATTAAACATACATTAAAAAAATCAGTGAAATAGAAAAGCATTTGTCACCTTGTTGTTTCCATAAGCCATTTCCATGGCCTCCAGAGAGAGTGAACAGAGTGCATTGATCAAGTGATGCAAAGACACGTCATCCAAGTACCTACATCACACAAAGAGTCAAATAAAATACAGATTATACACATACATTTTACTGAAATGTGTTAGACTTTCTTAAATGGAGTTCTATGGGAAAAACTTATGAACTATTTTTATCTTACATTTAAAAAGATTCAGTTTGAAGAAACAGAGCTCAATTCTGATGGCCAGTTGTTATGTCTGCAGTCTTCCCCATATTGAACCGAACTGAGACAACTGAACCAAACTGAAGCAATTTAATGTCACCTGGGGAACCTGTGCAGGTGCTTTGAGTTTAGTAGATGATTAGTGTCACACTCAGTTTAAAACACTCATGCCCTGCAACATTTGGCCTGATTTCTTCACAGTATTTTAATTTTTTGAAATCCTGTTTTTGTGGGTTTTAGATTGCGGGTCCTGACTATCACCTATTAAAGATTAACTTGTTGAATAAAATTATGGAAGTTAAACCATTTTTCCATGATATTCTGATTTTTTGGAAAGGGTCTGTAATTATGTCTGTGTAGCTGATGTGGTAAGGGAGGGGTAGGGTGGGAGACGATTTTGTTGTATGTTTTATTTATTTATTTTTTTACTTTGAGTGTGTGTTCTAAAGAGCGAAGCATTTACAGTGTTGTCAAATGTTATTTGCAAGCGCTTTTAGCAGCAGCAGCTAGCTGTAGCACTTTCAGTGTTCAAGTTCAAGAATCCTTATTAAGGGGCAATTTGTTTCCCAGTCAGTAGGCACATAAAACATATACAGGTCCTTCTCAAAAAATTAGCATATTGCAATAAAGGGCATTATTTTCCATAATGTAATGATAAAAATGAAACTTTCATATATTTCAGATTCATTGCACACCAACTGAAATATTTCAGGTCTTTAATTGTTTTAATACTGATGATTATGGCATACAGCTCATGAAAACCCAAAATGCCGGTCCCAAAAAATTAGCATATCATGAAAAGGTTCTCTAAACAAGCTATTAACCTAACCATCTGAATCAACAACGTAACTCTAAACACCTGCAAAAGATTCCTGAGGCTTTTAAAAACTCCCAGCCTTGTTCATTACTCAAAACCACAATCATGGGTAAGACTGCCGACCTGACTGCTGTCCAGAAGGCCATCACTGACACCCTCAAGCAAGAGGGTAAGACACAGAAAGAAATTGCTGAACGAATAGGCTGTTCCCAGAGTGCTGTATCAAGGCACCTCAGTGGGAAGTCTGTGGGAAGGGAAAAGTGTGGCAGAAAACGCTGCACAACAAGAAGAGGTGACCGGACCCTGAGGAGGATTGTGGAGAAGGGCCGATTCCAGACCTTGGGGGACCTGCGGAAGCAGTGGACTGAGTCTGGAGTAGAAACATCCAGAGCCACCGTGCACAGGCGTGTGCAGGAAATGGGCTACAGGTGCCACATTCCCCAGGTCAAGCCACTTTTAACCAGAAACAGCGGCAGAAGCGCCTGACCTGGGCTACAGAGAAGCAGCACTGGACTGTTGCTCAGTGGTCCAAAGTACTTTTTTTGGATGAAAGCAAATTTTGCATGTCATTCGGAAATCAAGGTGCCAGTGTCTGGAGGAAGACTGGGGAGAAGGAAATGCCAAAATGCCAGAAGTCCAGTGTGAAGCACCCACAGACAGTGATGGTCTGGGGTGCCATGTCAGCTGCTGGTGTTGGTCCACTGTGTTTTATCAAGGGCAGGGTCAATGCAGCTAGCTATCAGGAGATTTTGGAGCACTTCATGCTTCCATCTGCTGAAAAGCTTTATGGAGATGAAGATTTCATTTTTCAGCACGACCTGGCACCTGCTCACAGTGCCAAAACCACTGGTAAATGGTTTACTGACCATGGTATTACTGTGCTCAATTGGCCTGCCAACTCTCCTGACCTGAACCCCATCGAGAACCTGTGGGATATTGTGAAGAGAAAGTTGAGAGACGCAAGACCCAACACTCTGGATGAGCTTAAGGCCGCTATCGAAGCATCCTAGGCCTCCATAACACCTCAGCAGTGCCACAGCCTGATTGCCTCCATGCCACGCCGCATTGAAGCAGTCATTCATGCAAAAGGATTCCCGACCAAGTATTGAATGCATAACATTGGTTACGTACTGTAACCCCAGATTCTATGAGTATAAGCGTAGCCCTTTAAGGCTTTCGCTTAGTGGGTTTATCCCGTTATGCCAAGCATTAGCACTGAAAAATTTAGTCCACGCCCACCTGCTGTGTGGGCCCCACCCGGTCCGTATAAATTACGTTAAGAGCGGGAAATCGGCTCCCAAAAATAGCTTTTTTCTTCAGCCATTTAGGAGCCAGTGAGGCTTGACGCTTAAAGGGCTACGCTTATACTCATAGAATCTGGGGTTACAGTACGTAACCAACGTTCTATTTCGTATAAGCTTCGCCCTTTAAGGCTTTCGCTTAGTGGGTTAAGGGCGAAACAGATGTGGTCCTCGCCTCACTGGGTCCATTCGAACACTATATGAAGCAGAAGCTTGCCCAAAAAAAGTCTAATCACTCAGCTCCCATGTGCGTAATTACACATTGCGTAATTATGTGTGCCATGCACAGACGCATGTTGTATAACTATGCATTCTGAATGCATGAACGCCCCGGAAACATCAACGGGGAGGGAAAAAACGCTGAAAAGAGCCATGAACCAACCGGTTTACAGCTAAACCATATGAACAGATTAATAATAACAAGAGAGCTGATTATTAATCAGATGAACTGATTGGTAACAATAGTCGTGAACTGATAAATGACAATAGAACCAAACAACAGTCACAACTTGTGACTGATAACATCTCACACTGTAATGCATGCAGACAGATGTGAGTAAAACGGAGTTCCATGAAACAACAATATTCATTCTGTAAACACTAAGGACAGAATGTGTCATGGAACGGGCCGTCACATCACCTAAATAAAGGCGAATAAATGAGCAGGGTGTTGACCACGGAGCCACAGTGCAAAATGTCCTGCATTGACATACCATTATGCAAAGCAGTCGAAAATGCGATACCCCTGATAGAGTGTGCTCTGAGGTTGACAGGAGACTCTAATTCTGACGCTCTGTAGGCTTCAGAAATAGTCTCACACAGCCAGTGTGACAAGCGCTGGGTGGATAACGGGCGACCTGCAGATGCATTTCTATAATGCACAAACAAATGTTGACGCATTGCAGCTGTGCACGCTATGTAACACGTCAACGCCTGCACAGGACAGAGGAGATAAAAAGACGTTACTTCTTCTGATCTGTGTGAGGGGAGGGGGGGGACGACCCCCTCCAACGATATCGCTCTTGATTAAAAGAGCTTGTGATGTTTTAGGCATAAAAGCTGGGTTGATCTAAAATCAGCTGAGCTGCCGTCAGCCTAATTTCTGAGACATGACTGAGCGACAGAGAGGGCAGATAAAACACTCACTCTCTTAGCGGATGTTAAAGCCAGCAGCAGGGTTGTTTAAAGAGACAAGAATTTAAGTGGAACCTGATCCAAAGACTCAAATGAAGCTTTGATCATGACCTGCAGGACCAGTATTAAATCCCACTGGAAACAAGTGCTTGTGAGACAGACCTGCGTCTCTGCACACCTTATAGAAAACGTTTCATCAGCGGATGATAAAACCTGTTCTGTCTCAGAGGATGATTAAAGGTTGTTCTGTCTATGACAACTTTGAGACAAAAGAAAAACACGGTTGCAGCATACAATAGTCATGCTGGACACCAGATTTCTGTCCCTCGGCTGCTGCAGAAAGATAGCATGTCGTCCAGTGGACATGAAGTGGCCTCTACGCCTTCTGTACAGCAGCGTTGAAAAACTGACCACTTGATGTGAACAGCGCTGTGGTGGATGCAGCACGTGACTCCAGAATCGTACGCACTACATCTTGAGAGAGATCCATCCTCTCAAAGATCCGCACAGCGGCCAAACCACAGGTGCTGGCCTATTCTGATTAATTCCTGATCGTTCCTCCCGCCTGGAGGGAAGCGTCCCCCCTCCACGGCAGGTTCCACGAGCGCCCTGATAACAAATGTCGTAGGCCTGGGAACCATGATGCGTTCACGCACTTGGGGCAGAGGAGCTGCCAGTCCCTCCTCCTGAGCTCGGTTCAGAAAACCGTGATACCAGAAGGAGAGAAGAAGGTGAAAGGCATTACGACCACAGGCTGTGAGCATGCACATCCACCCAGCGGTGGATCATCCTATGGCTCCACGATAATTATAATTGACATTGAGCGTTCTCTCGTGATGCTACACGTCCGCAGACGCTGGAAGGATTTCTACCGTGTCTGAGCCCTAGCTCTGGGTGGAATACATGAGATGTACCCACTCCAATGGAGAGCAGATTGGATGTGCCCCACACAGCATCTGTCTCACAATGTGGCACATGGGTTGAAAAATGCATACATTTCCTGCTAGTATGTACGCAACAGTCACTTGCAGTCTGAGAATCAAAAACTCTGATGATTTTGCAGCTCAAGGTCAGTGTTGAGTCATATTCAAAGATCCCGTGCGACACTCCAAAAACATTTAAAAAAGCCGCTGTGTGGAGAGCCACAGCGCCCCACAGCTTGTTAAATGTGTGTGCGTAGGTCTGCTGACGGAAAACAGCTGATATCACTCAACCGATTCACGTGAGTTGCACTGCAGAATTAAAGAGGCTCGGGGCATAATGGAGCGTTGTTTCTCACAGCTCAGAAATTGACAAACTAGAATAAATCTCATCTTTCCGGTTCATTGGGACCAGGAAGTGATGAGAGAGACCTTGCGTTTCCTCTCCATCTGAGACTCTAGAAATTACATTTAAAAAAGAATTTCCTGAGCTTCTGCTAGAGGGGACGAGATCTGTTCATAAATGACAGAAAAAACGTCACAGAGTTCCTCCACACCGGGGTTTGAGCTGAACTGCAGCGTGAATCCCGGATGAAAACGGTTCGCCCATTCGTCTGGAAGCGCGCGTTCATTGCCACCCGTTTATAAGCTATAAAGCGGGCACGCATTTATGCTGTGAA